GGATTCGAACCGTAGACCTTCTGATCAGCAAGACCTAGGCTCTGTGGTTTAACCCACAGCACCACCCGCGACCCTCCTATTCACATAGAGGAGGCCTAAAAGGCCATTCACTGTTAATAACTCATTCTCAAATTGCCCCCCTTAAAAATCAAATTGCCCCCCTTTGGGACATGTGCCCAACATTGGGAACCATGGCTCTAGACTATTCTGTTTGATGTTTTAATGTGTTGTAAACCGGTTTGAGATTTTTTCTTTAAAATATAAAGTGGTATGGAAATGAATAATAATAATCATAATAAATTTCACTGGGGAGAAAAAAAGCACCTAGACATTTGGTTGTAGCAACTATAACCTAGGCTTAAGTTGCCATTTGGCAGTTAGCTTATACAGTGGTACCTCAGGTTACAGACGCTTCATGTTACGCGATTTCGGATTGCGCACTGCGCTGAACCCGGAAGTACCGGAATGGGTTACTTCCGGGTTTCGGCGCATGCGCAAAAGCACTAAATCACACTTTGCGCATGTGCAGAACTGCCTAATCGCGGCGTGCGCACACAGACGCAGCACTGCGGGTTGCGAATGCTGCGGGTTGCGAACAGATCACGTTCGCAACCTGAGGTTCCACTGTATATCTAAGTTTCAAACATTGGTTCCCAGATAAAAATGTAACCTGCCAAGATTTGGGTGTTTCTCTCACTCAGGAGTTACGGTGAAATTTGTGGTGGGCAGCAGATGCAGATTGTGTGTGTGTGTGTGTGTGTGTGTGTGTGCGCGTGTGTGTGTGTGTGTGTGTGTGTGTGTTGCAGGCTTTCTGTGGTTGCCTTCTGGTGACCTCCGATTGCCCTCTAGTTTGGAGATAGTAAGAAGCAAGCATCCTGCACCTCCTGCCCATTTGACCTGGTTCCTCTCTTGTGGTCAACCTTTTGACCTCTTCCCTCAAGCGATTGTGGCGCAGACACCCCACTGCAGATGGGCAAACAAGCATCTGCTTTGCTAAAGGATTTGAATTTTAGAAGAAGATGGGGCGGAAACTGCAAAAAAAAGTCCTGTATGTGGGTACCACAGTCTCGGAGGATTAATAAAAACTGAACTCCGGGTTGAAGACTCAGCTCTAAGCAAAAACCCATGGAAGGAAGAGGACGACCTCTAGCTAGAACCACCCTCAGTTGTGCAGATGTCCTTATTTCAATTTTACATCCCGCTTAGGCAAATGCACAGAAGGTCTGTGTAGTAGTACGTAGACCAGGGATTGCCAACCTTTTGTGGGTCAGGGAAGAGACAATGGAGTGCACATCTGGGCGTGAAGGCAAACTGCTGCATTTGCAGCAGCAAAGTGACCAAAGTTGAGGCTGATGGATTTCCCCTTCATTGGATGAAGTGGGATCTCGTCCGCGGAAGGTTATGCCACCATAAATCTATCGCGTCTTGTGGCACCTCTAAAGACTGGTCTTTTGTCTCCACAAGGCACAACGTCCTCTGCCAGCAACCCCTTTGTGTCCTTCTCCCACTTCGGTCTCTCCTCAAAAGCCACTTCTTCAACAATTATATTTTATGTACAGTGGTACCTCGGGTTAAGAACTTAATTCGTTTTGGAGGTCCGTTCTTAACCTGAAACTGTTCTTAGCCTGAGGTACCACTTTAGCTAATGGGGCCTCCCACCACAGCCATGCCACACGATTTCTGTTCTCATCCTGAAGCAAAGTTCTTAACCCGAGGTACTATTTCTGGGTTAGCGGGGTCTGTAACCTGAAGCGTCTGTAACCTGAAGCATCTATAACCCAAGGTAAAGGGACCCCTGACCATTAGGTCCAGTCATGACCGACTCTGGGGTTGCGGCGCTCATCTTGCTTTACTGGCCGAGGGAGCCGGCGTACAGCTTCCAGGTCATGTGGCCAGCATGACTAAGCCGCTTCTGGCGAACCAGAGCAGCGCACGGAAACACCGTTTACTTTCCAGCCAGAGCAGTACCTATTTATCTACTTGCACTTTGATGTGTTTTCGAACTAGCTCCTGCTAGGTGGGCAGGAGCTGGGACCGAGCAACGGGAGCTCACCCTGTCGCGGGGATTCAAACCGCCGACCTTCTGATCAGCAAGCCCTAGGCTCTGTGGTTTAACTCACAGCGCCACATGCGTCCCTAGGTACCAAGGTACCACTGTATTAAATTTACATCCTGCCCTTCTTACCAGAGAAGCTCAGGGCAACAAACACAAAAAAGTTGCAGTGTCACAATTAAGAATATATATTTTTTTAACAAAAACTACTTTAAACGTTTAAAAGCACCTAAAAGCAACCACATTCCTCTCACCGCTAAGAAGATCATGGTTGCCATGGCCAGTATCTTTGAGCCAACAAACGGCTGGGTGAGCAGGAATGCTTTTAAATGAGGGAGGCAGAGACGTCTCACCAGGGAGGACATTCCACAAGCAGGGATTATTTTTCCACCTACTGTAAAATCCCAGGCTTTTTAAATACCTTCACCCCACCCCAGCCTAATGTATAGTGACAGCTGTTTGTTTAGAATTGTTCTTTTTTTAATATTGAGTTTTAAGTTGCTGTTACCTGACCTGAAAACTTCTGGCAAATGGGCAAGTAAGAAATCAAAATAATAATAGTGTAAGACTTTTTATCACCTGGTGTGCAGGACATCTTTTAGAGCAGGAGCAATGATGTCATCCGGCAGAATGGCGGGGTAAAGGAGGTGATAAGGAGGCTTTCAAGTTTTACTATTGTTTGTGATAGGTTAGCTGCTAGGGAGGCAGAGAGAGAGAGAAAGAAAAAGAAAGAAAGTCAGGGTTTGTTGGTACTTTTTTCTTTGTCCTTGATTCACCCTAGCAGTTTAAAAGGTGACATTTCTTTGCAGGAGTGTTTGCATTTCTAATTAAACACCAAGTTTAAATTTCAGCTGACTGGAGGTATTTTGTAAAAGCTCAATGTGTGGGGGGGGGGGTTGTTTTGTTTTTTAAAAAACAAGCTGGGATTTCTGTAAACAGGGAATATGTATTCAGCTAAGTTTTACTCAAAGTAGATCCATTGAAATGAATGGACATGGCTATGTTAGGTCCATTAATTCCAGAGGGTTTACTCAAACATAGCTGTATAACCCATATATCTTGTTAGCTGATCCTTTAAAAAAAAAGAGAAGAAGAGTATTATATTGTTAGTGGGAATAGGTGGATATGGGCAGCTGGCTGGATTTTCTTAAGAGGTGTGGTTTTGGAACCCATCAGGAAGAACTCTTGCACTTTAAAGTTTACAATTTTGCTGCTGATTGCCTGTTGATGTTTTGCATAGGGCTTAAAGCACCATTCCTTCTTAAACAGGTAGATAAGTAGTCATAATAGGAAAAGAAATGATAATACATTCGGTTTGAGCCTAGCTATGTAAGGCCTGTGGATCCACAGTCCTTATGTGGTCTAATGCTGGCATTCAGATGAATGCAAAAAAAAAAAGTTAACAGAAGCAATTATATCTGTCCAAACCATGTGGATTGTCGGCTCCTTGTAGCCCCAGAAATTATATTTGTGCGTTTCCTGTGCAAGTGTGCTTCCTTCTGCTGGGATTGTGGGCTGCTGTTTGAGTCTGATTAACTTCTGTTTTCAAACGCTGGATATCTGGGACACAAGGAAGGGCTGTAGCTCAGCAACAGAACATCTGCTCTGCTTGCAGAAGGTCCCAGGTTCAGTCCCCGGCATCTCCAGGTAGGGCTGGGAGAGGCCTCAAATTTTGGAGAGCTGCTGCCAGTTAGGGTGGGCACGTATTCAGCTAAATCGGGGTTTCAGCTAAACTTGGGTCCCCAGCTGTTTTTGGACTACAACTCCCATCATCCCGGACCACTGGTCCTGCTAGCTAGGGATGATGGGAGTTGTAGTCTAAAAACAGTTGGGGACCCAAGTTTGAGACAACCTGAGCTAGATGCATCTAGGTTGGGTTCTGTATAAAAGTCTGCTGTGTTCTTTAGTGTACCGGCAAGCAGAAAAGGCAACTCGTGAGATATCCCTGAGATATATCCCTAAGGCGTAGTGAAGTAGCCAGCATTGTGTAAGTCTGGAAGAGGTTGTGCAATGCCTTCCTTCCTGCAAAGGGAGGCAAAAAAACAGGATTACCGGTTAGGTTTGCATATGTCTACTGTTTATAATGTTGGGTGGTGTCCAACTAGACAGTTCCACTAGTCCTTCCAAGGACTTGTCATGCTGTGCAACCCCTAAATATGTTCTTCCTACAACTGAGACGAAGGCAGGGAAGTTCCATTGCACAGTTGAAAGTCCTTGTCCCGGTGGAACTGTTTTATTGGTGCCACCCTTTGGGGGGAGTGCAAGTCGAGGAGATGCCAGGGAAGATTAGCTGTGTGCCTTTGCCTGTCCCGATCACAAACCTTAAAACCTTTTCTCCGTCCCGAGACAACTTGTACAGCAGCGGAGGAAAAGAGAGACCGTCACTGTTTACACAACTCTGACATTAACGAAGCGCATTGTGCGAAAGTCAGTATCTCTTTACTGAGGTGCTATAGCATCTGTGTGAAGGGTCTAGGAAGTGACATGCTAACAACCCAGGGACCAGGCACAAGGATAAGGCACAGACTGTTCCTGTTGCCTGTCTGCATGCACGCCGATGAAATACAGAATAGGTGCAGAAATTCTGTGCTGAAAGTCCTGCCCTTTCTAAACCCTTTACAAGATTTTGCTTGCACTGAATTGCAGGGGGCAGGTCCTCACCCCGGCACCCACCCACCTCTATCTAAATCTCCAGTGTGTAGGAGTCAGTGGCCTTTCCCCACTTTGTATGAAATCGAAAAACTGCGCCTGTCATAGAATTTACATCAGGGGGGCAGCCCCAGCGACTTCAGCAAAGCTGCTATGGAAATCAGTGATTCACAGAATCTGAGCTCGGGTAGCACTGCTAGGGAACGGGGGTTTGGAGGAGATTAGCCAGGCTGCCGCTTCTCATTCATTCATTCATTCATTCATTCATCCTCTTTTCTCCCTCCCTCTTTTTCTGTAGGTGGACGCATCTGTTCCTTCTCCCCTTGCATCGAACAAGTGCAAAGGACCTGCCTGGCTCTGGAGGAGCACGGCTTTGCCGAATGTAACACTCTGGAGATCCTGCTGAGAGTGTACAACGTTCGGACAATCAGCTTGCCACTCCCTGACCTTGGAAAAGGAACCGGGGGCAATGCCAGAGGGGAGTCTGACCAAGGCAGCCCATCCGATCAGGGTGCCTCTTCTGCTGGTCTCCAGCAGGGAAACGCACAGTTTAAAAGCGGTGTGCCGCCAAGGGAGATGGTGGGCCACACTGGGTATTTGACCTTCGCTACCAAAAGCCTATTTTAGTTACTTGCGAAGCTAGCGGCCTCCTTGCTGCCCTCCCTCCTTCCCTCCCTCCCAATCAAGCATCCCAGGCTTTTTTTGCTCGTCGGGCAATTCCATATATAGTCAGACTGAGTAAGATTATGCTTTTGTTTAAATAGCACCCAGGAGCGCTAACCAGATCAGCCTTGCAGTACACTGTCCTTCTGGAACAGTGCTTGGCTGCCTGTCAGGTAGGAAGATGGATTAGCAGCTAATAGCTGTGGGATGGACTTTGCAAAGCAAAAGCCACTTACTGAGGCTGAGGTTGTTTGGGGCGGGGGGGGGGGGATGTCAACCAGGTTTCCTTTTTCTTTCTGGAACCCCTGCATTGATTCTTCCCTCTAAGAGGGTGTGCAATGGGGAGAATTTTTGCTTTCGGTTTTTTATTTGCCGTTGGGAATCTATTTAATATTTGGATTTTTAAAAAATAAAATAAAAAAGGTTTTGCCGTTGGCCCAGAATTGGCTAGCAGCCCCTGCAAAGAGAGTCTTTAAAAGGCAGGCGGATGTGTGGATCCATATATACGCATACATGCATACATAGGTGAACAACCCTGGAAAGAGCATCAAACCCAATTTATTGTGGTTGCACGACGTGAGTGAGTCTCCCTTGTCACAAAGATTCAAAGCGCAGGGCTAGCTTTTGAGGGGAGAAAGTTAGGCTGCAAGTCTTCACCCTGACATCTAATGCTGAATGGAGCTGGTGGTTTCCTATAGGAAGTGTCATTTAATCACATCCCTGCTTGCATCCCGAAATAATTCTGTTCAGGGACAGCTCTTCTACCTCTTCTGTGTGAGCAAAATCCTCAGCACAATCGCACATTCACTTGGTCTTGAATAAATGGCTAGATTTGCATCCTGCTTCTTCCCTGCCAAACAACAGCAGCAAAAAAAAAACCTCCCTTATCCAGTCTGTCCTGTATTGTAAGACGGTACTTGTATTTACAGATGTCCATTGCTGTAAACAGAACGAACCCTTCCCTGGTGTTCTTAACCAGCGTATAAGCACGTCACAATCCTGTCTTCCTAGGGCCTGGGTGAAATGCGAGCCACGAGGCAAATCTTTTTATCCATTCCATGCGCCGGCTGATTAATAGATATGCCTGAAAGTGCGAATCCGGTTTTGCCCTTTTCTTGACCAAAAATAAACATGGCTGAGCTTTCGATGGGTTACAGCCCCGGTGCTAATCTGTCACAGTTTAACAAAAGTTCCGCCAACCGCGGCGAGCAAAGATAGAACAGCTGAGCAGATTAAAAACCAGGAAAGCAAATCATCTGAGCTCGAAGCTGTTACGTAAGTGTTCCAGGGCTGCAGCTTTCCGCCTCCGCCTCCTCCTCCTCCTCTTCAGAAGGATGTTAAAAGTCTTCTGTTATGCAGTGCTCGAAAGTACTTTTGAGGGAAAGCAGGGTGGAAGGTGCTACTGCTGCTGCATCATTAATGGGGTAGCTGCAACCGCCTGCCTGCAAGCAAAGAGAGAACAGCAGGCATATGTAAACATCAGATCAACTGGGGAAGAGGAGGGGGAGCTGCTTAAACCTACAAAAGGAGAGGAAACAGGAGCCAAGGGAATGCCTCTGTCCTTAAGATGCTTGCACTCAAATCAGCACTGTATGTCCTTGGTACAATATGCTTCTAGTGCAAAGCCGGGAAAGGGGGAGGGGACTTTTTCCAGACTCCCATTTGAACAATCTTATAGGGGTCACATGCAGGTGATGGGCGTGGCCAGAGGCAAAGTGGGCGGAACAACGAATGTAAATTCTACCTTTGTGCAATAGGTTAGATGGGATGTTTTCCGAGGTTGACGAGCCGACGGCGGGGCGATATCTCGTTTTCAACATCGCAATATATCACCTGCTAAACATCCTGATGGGACGCGGGTAGTGCTGTGCGTTAAACCACAGAGCCTAGGACTTGCCGATCAGAAGGTCGGCGGTTTCGAATCCCTGCGACGGGGTGAGCTCCCGTTGCTCGGTCCCTGCTCCTGCCAACCTAGCAGTTCGAAAGCACGAAGTGCAAGTAGATAATAGGTACCGCTCCGGCAGGAAGGTAAACGGCGTTTCCGTGCGCTGCTCTGGTTCGCCAGAAGCGGCTTAGTCATACTAGCCACATGAGCTGTACGCCGGCTCCCTTGGCCAGTAAAGCAAGATGAGCACCACAACCCCAGAGTCGGCCACGACTGGACCTAATGGTCAGGGGTCCCTTTAGCTTTATATAGGGGAACTGACTGGATTCACGGTTTCCCCACATTGTGATTTTTGCATAGCACACACCCACACACACCCTGCATCATGATTCACAATATTTTTGCCAGGTCAAAAATTATGAAACCAATAACACAATAGGGGCTTCAAACCATTTTTGGATGATATTTTGATGTATTGCCCAGCCCTAGCTGAGCCTCGTCTACCCCTCTACAGCACACACAGAAAACTCCTCCTTGACCATTGGACCCACTATTGGTCTTGTCTGCTCAAGCTGCTGGAGCCTGTTTTCACATGCAGGGGAAGTCCCTAACTCACCGAGGGGTTGAGAACCATTGGCTGCCCTCACCTGGTTTAGCTGGCCAGTTGAAACTGTTTGCCAGGGTGTAGCTGCTGTCACATGCTGACAGCTTCTAGGAACCACAGGTGAGAGCTGTGAACGCGGACCAAAGATGGATGAACTACCCCAGAAGGAGCAGAACATGTCCCCCACCAGAGGTACCAGCACTCCCCTTGTTGTTGTCGTTTAGTCGTGTCCGACTCTTCGTGACCCCATGGACCAGAGCATGCCAAGCACTTCTGTCTTCCACTGCCTTCTGCAGTTTGGTCAGAAATCCTCCCCTAACACCCCTTATTCTTGATTCTAAGCCTCTGCTGCCTTGTGGGATCTCTTCAGGAGAAGAGAAGGCTCAGGAGTAGAAACCCTACACAGATCCAGAAGGAAGTCCCTAAGATGGTTGGATGATGCCTTGAATGCCTCCTTCTGGCAACTCCTGCAGCCAAGCTGGTGCCAAATGTCTTGCTCTGCTTTCCTTTGGACCACATCAGCCAGCCAGGCCAAAGGGGGGGGCGTGTCTCGTCATCTGGACAGCCCAGGACCTCCAGACACACTGCCCAGGCTTGTGCCCTGGGGAAGTCCCTTGGGTGCTGCTAACACAATAGTTTGACTCCACCCCCAGAGGCACACTCCATTGTCTCTCAATACTTAATGCCAACAAGAGTAGGCTAAATTCTACACGGAGTCGGACCCTGCTCTCAACCCTCCATCCGGGCAAGCAGGAGAGATTATGTGAGTACAAGGACTCATTCCAGTCCTGGCAAAAACGCTCAAAGGAAGGTGCAGATCAGGGCTGGGGAGGAGATGTGGCCATTGGGGAATCCCAAGGGCTGAACAGAGAGACCCGAGGGCTGCATCAGGCTCCCAGGCAAACTGAAATGAAATGTTGCAATCAACAGTGCAGCTGTGATTTAATTTTGGCTTATTTCATGTGGCGTTGGCCCGTTCATTCAGAAGTAAGTGGTGCTCAGTGGTGCTTGTCCTGAGAAAATGTGCACAGCGTTTTTCAGCCTCAGCCAGTCTCATGAAGCCTCCCCCCTGCTGCTCCAGCATTCGCTGCATTGCAGCGAGTTGGAAAGTGCTGTAACAGAGGGCTGTATTTTCTTCCCCTTTTGCCGCAGGACAGGACATCAAACATACAATGCTATAAAAATGCCAAGCACTTTTCTTCTCTGGTATTAAAAAGGAAGAGGAAGCAATAAAGGGACAGAGCAGGGATGGGTTTCTAAAAGTTGGAAAACCTAAATGCACAGCACTTTTTGCAGCTGGGTGGGTTAAGTTGCCTGTGCACAGCTTGCGGCAGCCTTTGGCAACCTGGTGCCCCCAGAGGTTTTGGATTACAGCTGCCCCTGTTGGAAATTGTAGTCCAAAGTATCTGTGGGCACCAGGTTAGTGAATAGAGGCTTATAGTGTCAATGCCTCTTAGGTTGTCCCTCGCTCCCAGTTAAAATGTTGCAGTCAAACTAAGGATTCGCATCTCTGCCGTTATTCATTGCTGGTGCCCCACTCCTGGATTTCACAGGAGAGCGATGGAGGGTGCAGCCTGTTCTCTTTGGTAGCTGCCTTCTTCCCTGACTCGCTCGCCTAGGCAGGTGTGGGAGGGATGTCATTCCCTGCAGACAAGTCTCCGCGTGCCTGATTGAATTGCAAAGTGTCCTCCAGCATCCCTGGCGGAAAGGAAGAGCACCTGCTCCAAAGTCGGCGCTGGCAGTCTTGATGAAGACAATCTCTGCAGCTTGGGTCAAGCAAGACATGCAGACAGATAGATGGGAGATAGAGAGGGCTGCATGCATAAATTTTAAGAAGCGCCCTGTGGGTCAGACCAAAGGCTTCGCTAGTCCAGCACCCTCTTCCCAGAGATGCCTGTGGGAAGCCCACAAACAGAGCTTGAAGTACAACACTCCGTGTGTGAATCTCCATGTTAGGAGATTCAGGACCAATAAAAATCATTACTTTTTCAGCCAGTGCATAGCTAAAAGATACGAAACTCGCTCCCATAGGTGGCAGTAATGGAAACCGAGTTGGATTGTTTTAAAAGGGGATTGGACAACTGCATGGGGGAGAGGGCTATCAATGAATAACCATAGTTTAGAGGTACCTAAGGAAGTTAGACTATCCCCCACCAGGTCCAGGGCCTTTTCAGTGATGGCTCCGACCTGGTGGAATGCTCTGTCCCATGAGACTAGGGCCCTTCAGGATTTAACCTCCTTCCGTTGGGCCTGTAAGACAGAGCTATTCCGCCTGGCCTTTAATTTGAATTCAGCCTGATCTTTTATTTCCCTTCTCTTCCCTCCCCTTCCCTTTTTATGAAGATTGCCTGCTCTGAGACTCCACAGCTAATTCTCCCCTGGCCTCCTTGCTGGCCCAAGTAGGACTAATTCAGCCAGCTAGCCCTAGGGATTATCTAATGCTTATTAGATGGATTTCCCCTAAATTGATTTCTGAACTTTGAATTTTATTGTTATTCATGTTTTTATACTGTATTTTATGCTGCTTTTACAATTAAGTGTTTTAAATTTGTTGTTAGCCGCCCTGAGCCCGGTTTTTGGACCGGGAATGGCGGGGCATAAATAAAAATTTATTATTATTATTATTTATTATCGATGGCTGCTAGCCACGATGACTGTGTTCTGTCTCCACAGTTGGAGGCACCGATGATTCTGGGTACCACTTGCTGGAAACCACACGAGTGGGGCATCCTCTTGCCCTCAAGTCCTGTTTGCAGGTTTCCCGCAGGTATCAGTTTTGACCACTGTGATAACAGGAGGCTGGACCACTGTGATAACAGGAGGCTGTGATAACAGGAGTCATTGGCCTGATCCAGAGGCTCTTGCGCTCTTAAGATACATGCTTTTCACCCGTTCAAGCCCAGCACATGTTTTCTACACCAAGGCATTCTGGGGTGTCCTTTAGATCTTCAAAGCTGGCAGATATGCCCGGCTCTTCTGACGTGATTTGGGGACGTGGAGCAGCACACCCACCTCTGCAGCTGCTCCAACAGACTGGCTTCAAAGATGTCAGTGTGTGGGAAGCACTGACCTCACTCTCGTCGTTTCTGTAGTTCTTTTGCATGCACAAAGGTCTTACACTTCTTACCTTATAAGAACATGTGATTTTAAGAACTGGCTTGCAGGAGCTCTGACCAAGGGACTATCAGGTTCTACATTTGGGTTCCATTAATGGTTAGGGGACGCGGGTGGCGCTGTGGGTAAAAGCCTCAGCGCCTAGGGCTTGCCGATCGAAAGGTCGGCGGTTCGAATCCCCGCGGCGGGGTGCGCTCCCGTTGCTCGGTCCCAGCGCCTGCCAACCTAGCAGTTTGAAAGCACCTCCGGGTGCAAGTAGATAAATAGGGACCGCTTACTGGCGGGAAGGTAAATGGCGTTTCCGTGTGCTGCGCTGGCTCGCCAGATGCGGCTTTGTCACGCTGGCCACGTGACCCGGAAGTGTCTCCGGACAGCGCTGGCCCCCGGCCTCTTAAGTGAGATGGGCGCACAACCCTAGAGTCTGTTAAGACTGGCCCGTACGGGCAGGGGTACCTTTACCTTTACCTTTAATGGTCAGCCTGGTACTCCTTATCTCCATAGAGAGCCCTCTTCACTCTGCAAAATAAAGTTCAGGAAAAGCT